GAATTCTCACAAATGAGTATGGAATCCTCTTTGTTCTTGGCAGGATGGATTTTTTTCCCCTTTTAAAAATAAGCATTCACTTCTCCATGAGAAGCCAAGCATGTCTCACTGCCAACCCCAAATGCTTCATGCCACTGCTTCATGGTGACAGCTCTTCTTTGCTGGACTTCTGTATGCCCCCGAGAAGCATCTCTCTGCACTCCCTAGCACCATGGGTCTCCTGGGCATGCATAAGTCGTTTCACTGGTGCACGCCAGGCGTCAGCAAACAGGGCCTATGCCTTTCAACCTCACTCTTATAGGGCCTCTCAGCTTCTGAGCTCACAGCAAAAGGTATGAACGTTAGGTTTTGTGTCAGCATGGCGTGCCTGTAATATATGGGTGGAGCACAACCTCACACTGATGATGTCTCCTTGGGGGTGTGGCCTATTTGATATCCATAAAATGAGTTCCCAGGAGGAACATTCTCTTCCTGTTGGTGTGGAACTGCATCTGTTGTAACTGCTTCTGGTTCCTTGAACTTGGGCTGATCCTGGCGATAACATCTGATCTGCCAATTGGACTCTGTCTCCTCCAGCGCTCAGCTCATCTTCCGGCTTCCTAGCTTCCACCTTAATATGTGACATAAAGCCTTGAACTAAACTGGACCTAACCACTTCTACAACTGTGTGAGCCATTTTTCTTGTTATAAACATCTCTTTGTATATATGTGTGTGTATATAGTTTCGCTCTGCTGCAGAATGCAGCCGAACACAAAAAGGTTTCCTGCCGAAACTCTGCTTAAATGACTCTCATTGCAGCTTCAATGGAAATTTATCTTTTGAAAGATTCTTTTTGTCTCTTTTAGGTGTTAACAGATTTTTACATTTGCATGCATACATCTAATGTATGTGCATAATTATCTCCTTGTCTACTTGATCTCTCCAATTTTACAACACTTTGACAAGAACAGTATGACTGAGTATGGAGTCCCTGGGTGGATGTACACAGTTAAATAAGTCACTTCAGCTGTTACTGAAAGGTCTGAAGTTCAAGTCCATCCAGAGGCCTAATAGAAGAAATGGCTTTCTACTTCCAGAACACCAGCCATTAAAAAGACTACATGGTGCAGTGGTACCTTGATAGACATGGTGTCACCATAAATTGGAATCAAACAACAGCAACTGAGTTACTAATCCTTTCAAATATTTTTCATGCTCACATAATATACATGTCTACACAAATGCATAAAATTTTGCATTACTATTTGAGATAGTTAGCTTATTGTGCCAGCCTGGCCGATAAACACGTGGGATTAATTGAAGGGCGGAGAGATAAATGGTTCGGTGAGCGTCACCTTTCTTGTCTCTTGCTCTTTGATCATCGGACCAGTGTGCAGCTGCCTTGCTTGTTCTGTGCCTCAATTTACAGGCTACACTACCTGTGGGACGCCTAGCCTGTGGACTGTGTCACTGTAAGTTGAGGTCCCTTTAAGACCACGATTGAAATTTACATCTTTGGAGCTGGGGACTGACAGTTGGTGACCTGGTTGACAGTTGGTGACCTGCATTGCTATTTGCTGCTGTGCTGATATAGCCTAACTCTCTCTACAGAGGAAGTTCTGGCAGCCCTCAAGACTTGAAGGACTGCTAGTGTCTTGCAGCTCTCTCACGGGAGTGAGTTGCACTGAGCCATTTGTACTGCTTTATAATTTAACAGTTCATTTCTTGTGTTATATATCTAACTATCTTTATAAATAAATATAAAAAATTATCAGTAATCTGGTTTTCTCTCTCTAGAGAACCCTAACACACTATTCTTTAAAAAAAAATGGGACATTTCATGTTCCATTTTTACTTTGCTGGCACCAAGCATCCATGCTGGAAAACATTAACTTGGGGCTAGTAGCACGTTCTACTATTCTGGTGCAGGGTTTCTGTGAGGCAGCATTTCCCAGTGACACCAAAGCTCAAACTCACTGCCATCGAGCCAATTCCAACTTGTAGCAGCCCTATAGGACAAGGCAGAACGTCCCTGTAGATTTCCAAGAATGGAACTCTCGGGCTCAAGTAGAAGGCACATGTTATGAGAATGATGAGGAAAACAAATGTACATATGTGCTTGACACAATTGATGTATGTATGGATTATGATAAGAATTGTACGAGCCCCTAATAAAATGATTTTTAAAAAATGGAACTCTCACGGGAGTAGAAAGCCTCGTCTTTCTCCCGAGGAGCGTCTGGTGGTATCAAACTGCTGGCCTTGTTGGCTAGAAGCCCAATGCATAACAACTAATGATTAAATACAAAGTATCTCCCCTGACTCTACCTTTCAAATAAATACACAAAATACTTTATGGAAGTCGCTTTGTTGTAATGATAAAATCGAAACTTTTTCTACCACACTGAGTCCTAACTTCCTTCAACTGTTTGCTTCCTCTCATTCATGATAACGTGAATTTGGGCTCTTCCACGTGCTTTACCATTGGGGGGGTGGGGAGTAGTAAAGCTCAAGAACAGCAGCACTGCTTCATGTACAAGGAAAATATCAGGAGAAAATGGACTAACAGGAATGTTTGAGGTGACAGATACAGGTATGCATTGGTTAACGTTCACCACAGACGATGACCGCCGACTACACGTATGTGCGTGTATATGCCCATATCAGTGAGTGAGAGCTCAGCTGTGTGCTTCCCAGAAGCCACCTCACCTGTGGCAATGGAAACCCCAGCCCAGGCTCCCAACTCCATTGCTCCTCATTTCCTGCAACTTAGCAGGCCAACCGGCACCTACTGCCAGGGGCCATCTGTGATATGGATGGGAATGTCTGCACTGTGGGCGTCCCACAGTCCTGACTCCAGCACCGCTGACCCCATGGCCCACAGCATCCCCTTGTGGAGCAGGTTCTCCTGGGTGTGCTGCAGCTGAATCTAGAGTGGCAGCAACCACCAGGTGGGACTCAGCAGACAAAATGCCCACCTGAGGCCTTCACAACTGGAGGTAGGCTGGCCAGGGACAGCCTAGTACTCACTTGAGTAAGGCTCACCTGATGTACCTGAAGCTGACCTGCAGCCCCCGGAAGATGCAGGTATGTTCACAATGTCCAAATCATGTAGTGTCCCATTCACACAACATATGTGGACATTACGCAACTCGTACCCATGTGTGTTTTCTCTTCCCCAACATGTACTAGTTTCTGAGTCTCTGGTATACTAGTTACTGAGTCTAGAACACGTTAGTCCCGGTGACCTCTACAGAAAGCAAGCACAGCCTAGAGGAGGTCACTTGTCTAATGAGCACAGCCACTTACTAGCAGAGGCAGATTCTTCTTGAGGCCACATACGATGGGAGAATATTGCAGCTTATCATCTAAAACACCAGTAGTTCTAACAACAACAACAAAAACCCTCACTGCCATCGAGCCAATTCAACTCACAGAGCTGTGCAGCTCAAACACAGCAAGCGGACACATGTCGCATGCTCATCGCCATCAAGTAGATGCCGACTCACAGTGACCCTATAGGACAGGGCAGAACTGCCTCCATGAGATTCCAAGACTGTAACTGCTCATGGGACTAAAGGCCTCATCTTTCTCTGATGGAGCTGCCGGTGGTTTCCAATGGCTGACCATGTGGTTAGCAGCCCAAAGCATAACCACTTCGCCACCAGGGCTCCCCAGACACATGGCTGGGACCCTTAAAACATGACACTGCATGACAGAACCATATTCATTTGGTGGAAAGGGATGGCTAAGGAGTTGGGATCAACTAGACAGCACAAGGTTAGCAGAACTTCTAGGAGCTGATATCCAAATGATCCACGTTTATCTGAACATCGTCTCACCCATGTTCTCCAGGAGCCACGGCACAGCCTCAGAAGCAGCATGCACTCATCAAAGGGACCTTGGTTCAGGCCGAGGGATGGCACTGACCATTCTCAACAGTGGAAGAAGGCTAGGCTTCAAGTGCTGAATTCTGCTCCCCTGCCCCCACCCCACCCGGGCCCTTTGATAACAAAAGGGGAAATTAGTGCTGAGAAAACACCATGGCTGAAAATCTAAAACACCTGCAATCATAAATAGATTTTTAAAAATCTCACTGGCACAAGTCCATTCAAGTCATAGCGACCCTCTAAGGGCAGCACAGAACTGCCCCTTTGGGTTCCCAAGGCTGTGAATCTTTCACTTGAGCAGAAAGTCTCATCTTCCTCCAGTGGAGCAACTGTGACCTGTGCAGAATGAAGGCGGGAGGGGGGTTAGGAAAGCATGTGTGCTCTCATGGAGCTTTGAGAATACCTTCAGCCTCATCTTTCCCAATTCACTGTTATGTAATCCTCTGTTCTGGGCACAGTGCTTATCTCTGGTCAGTTATCTACTCTGCTTCCCTCAAGAGAAGAGATAACCAAGTAGAAGAGACTACTAGGCCAAAGAATTAAAAACTGTTTTACATGGTTACTAATTATGCTATTCTTAAAAATGCAACCGCCACAATAACACTGTTACAAGTCAGCAGAGTACAAACATCAGTATAAGTCAGTTCCAGTACCTACCTTTGAACTGAGTACCTTGGACTGATCAACACTGACTAAACAGAACATATCTAAGAATCCAGAGATAAAGAAAACACTCTCAGCAGTGGTTACATGATCTGTGCACTACAACTCCAACCAAGCCCAACAGAGACTACTTCTGGTCCAGTCTTTGCACTCGGTACGCAGTCCTAACAAGTTTATTTGAGCAGCTCATCTTCGTGGGTGCTGGCAATTGGCACTTGCTGTACCTTCTCTCCTGGAATCATCATAGCGAATAAGGAATGTTTAAGTGACTAGATCCAGGTTCTACATCTAGGAAATTCCTCACCTGGATACAAGTTCTATTATCTGTGACTGCACAATAGATGTTCACCTCAAGTTCTGAGCCAGTGCCTCTTAAACTCTAGCCCACAGGAACATTGGGAAGAGGTGAGGGAGTGGGACTTAGAGAAACAGAGTTCTGATTACACATATACAATCTTTTTTTTTTTTTTAATATGGAACGCTTCATGAATTTGTGTATCATCCTGGCGCAGGGACCGTGCTAATCTTCTCTGTATCATCCCAATTTTAGTATGTGGTGCTGAAGCGAGCATGCAATATACAATTTCTAACAAATTCTCAGTAATGCTGATGTCAGTGGCCCTGGGACATTCTGACTCACAGGCAGGGGCTCCCTTTTGAGTCACAACAGAAGTATCCGCAAGGCAGAATTGTTTTCTAGGATTTCTTTTGGGAAGCAGCCTGCCTCGGTCCCCACCAGTGGGTTCCAACCACGGATCATTCCATTAGCAGCCCAGGGCTTAACCCATTGCACCACCAGGGACTCAAGACTATTTTGCTCAAAGCGACCCTAGAGGACTGTGTAGAACTACCCCAAGTGGGTTTCTGAGACTATACTGGAGTAGAAAGTTTAGTCTTTTATCCACAGAGCAGTAGTGCTTTTACACTGCTGACCTCACAATTAAGCAGGCCGGTGCTTAACCCACGGCGCCACTGGACTCCTTGGGAATGCTTTAGGAACCCATTGTATTCACTTCCCAAGTTACACCCGGGCAGCAGCAAAGTAATGCAAACATAAGGAATTCAACAACAAATGAACATAAGGCTCAACTAAGAAACAAAAACGTTTAGAGCGGAGTGCTGCAAAGTGACCTCCACAATTGACACCACCGCAGCCCATCTGAGTTCTGCGCGCTGCTGTGGGTTACGCATGGGTTAAAAAAACACGAACTGCCATGGAGTCGATGCCCACTCACAGCGACCCTGGCTAGAACTGCCCGTGTGAGTTCCCCAGATGGTAACTGCTTCTGAGAGTGGAAAGACCCGTCTTTCGAGTTGCTAACTTCGGAGTCCGTGGTTCAACCCCACTAATCTCTCTACCGGAGAAAAAACGAGACTGTGGGATCCCGTGAAGATTTAGTCCCAGAAACCCTACACTGGGTCGCTGTGAGTCGGAATCTAATGCACGGAAGTGGATTTGGGGTTTTTTTATCTTGAGAAATACCCCTTCCGGGCGTGGGTCTTTGTCACACGCTGGGTTCACGGAAACGGAAAGTTCCTGTCCCGGGTCCGGAGCCCGCCCTCTGTGCTGCGCAGGCCACTCCACTCCAGCTTCCTGCTCGGACACACGTCTACCCCGGCCCCTCAGCGCCAGCCCCGTTCGTCTAGGGCCTAGGGACCGCCAGTCTCCAGCGGGGACAGAGGCGGGGGCCCCGGGCCACCCCCTTTCCCCGCCTCAGGACACGCCCTCCCCGCCCCAGACCCGGAACAGGCGACCGCGGCCCCCGAAGCGCCGCCCGCCGCCCCGCGCTCCGGGCCCTGGACGAGAAAAGCACCGCGAAGAGTCCACAGCACGAGCAAAGCCAACCCGACGCTCAAACTCACGCTCAATGAACTCGCTTGCGTCCCCACGTTTCGGGCGCACGCTTGTACGTCATCGCGCACGGACGTCCTAGCCGGGACGCTCCTCCTCCCCACAGCCGGCGGCGAGAGCAGTACGGGGGCGTGGCTGGCTAGCGACCGCCCTCGGGGAGCGGCGGCGGGGAGCGGAGAGGGGGCGTGGCCGCGGCGCGTGCGCAGTTCGGCCCCGCGCCCTCCTGGCCGCGGGCTGTCCTCCTGGGTTGCGCGGTGCTGCTGGACAAAGACCTCGGGCGCATGCCGCGCAGAGAGCTGGCACCGGTTCTCAGCCTCCGAGCCCCGTGTGGAACGTGCCGAATCTTATTCCTTGCAGCCCTAAATCACGCTGGGCCACCTGCCGCACGTAAATTGTATGAGCCTGGTGTGCGTTTGTGGTCCCACCTGGAAGAAAGTGGGCCCCTCGGAGCAAGCCCCGAAATGTGTTCTTGCGATCAGGTCCTCATCCTTTGGGCCCTGAGGCTGCTGGGCTTCCGCGTTTGGGCGCTGGCTCTGCTGGGCCCCAATGGTTAGGCCTACTTCCAGTTAACAGGCTGGCACTTCGTGGATCTCTGGGAGAGACAAACGCCCGCCATCCCCTCATGCACCTGCCTGAGGGCTTATCTCAGTGTCAAGGGATAAAAAAGACCCTTTAAAAGGCTTCGGCCTTAGGAACAATTGTGAGGATGGCCCAGGACCAGCCATTGTTTCGTTCCACTGTGCACAGGGTTGCTATGGGTCAGAACCACCTCGATGGCACCTAATAGCAACAAACCAGGTCACCAGTACACCTGCCTCCCACAGCTAGAGCTGAGGCTACCTTTCTCACTGTTGGTCTTGTTTAAGGACTTCTGAGAGAGGTACCATTTGTGGCCTTTTTAATGAACTTTTGTTTCTACTCTGGAACAAGTTTTATGACCAGTTAGTTGTAAATTTCAAGTTAAGTTAAATGCGGGACAGCTGTTTTTATTTCCCATGATACGAAAACACAGGGGGGGGGAAATGAGCTTACCATTTGATAGGAAAATTTCTAACAACTAGGCCAGAGAGTGCCCTTTGCCAGGAAGCCAAACACAGGAGAAGGGAGTTTTCCACTGCCCCGGTGCTTATTGACAGCCGTGGCATCTGTTCAGCGATCTACAGCAAACACGAAATCACAAGTTCTGATTATCTTTGTGCTATCATATCTTGAAAGCCCTATTCATAGAAACATTTCTTTGGAGTTTGGAGTTGAAATGAAAGTTTCACTCATATGCAGAGGATCTAACAGATTGAAGCAAAAGAGAAGATTTTTAGCAAATTTCAAGTATTCCTTGGGTTTTATAAAAAGTACCCCTTCCAAAAGCAGAAAGCTTGACTGAAGAGGAACTGCGCGTTCCTAGAAAGAAGAAGTTCATTGACCTGGGAAAAATAAAGAAGGTGAACTGCTTATAAAAATAAGGTTTCCCTAGGAGCTACATATAACCTTCTCCCTGGGACACGGACACGGAAAAGTGGGTGAAGGGAGACGTTAGACAGTGTAAGATATGACAAAATAATAATTTATAAATTATCAAGGGTT